CATATATACATATATGTAGACAGACATACTTGGGTATATTCTTGGCTAAATTTTTGTGTCCTAATGACATAGGAGAATAAAGCAAAGAAGCATCATATTCTCTTTCACTCATTCCCCCCCCCCAGATAAAGTTGCATACTTTGGAGGAAATAAATGTCTGATACCTAATTTTTATTCGTTCCCTGGATATTCAAAGAAAAGGTCCAATATCTGTAGTTTTGGAAGATAATGATTATGACACAAGAATTGCTAACATAGCCAACCTATAGTTCTATACCATACAGAGTGTATCAAAGTATAGTCCATGTGTCAAATCAGACATCCATCTATTTTGGTAAGTAAAATTTCTTCTTCTTTTCCTTATTCCTTCCTTTCTTCTCTCTCTCTCTCTCTCTCTCTCTCTCTCTCTCTCTCTTCTTCTCCTTCTCCTTCTCCTCCTTCTTCTTCACCTAGTAGTGTCAACTTTTTTGCATATTGCATATAGCTTTTTTAACATTACATTGGAAGTAATTACAACACAGACTATCAGGCTTACAAAAGTTTAAATATTTAAGAATTTGGAATAAATAAAGCATATTGCTAGCTCTTTATTAAAAAAATATTTTTTCTTTACTTTTTCGACTTTGGGGACAAGTGCTCGCTGGAGAGAGAGACAGAGACAGGTAGAGGGAGAGGGAGAAATCTCCCCACAGGGGGAAATGGCCATGCCATAATCCTCTCTCCTCTATTCTCCTCCCAGGATCCTAGGCATGTATGCACATGCATCTGGCATAATTTTGAAGCCAATGGATCTGGGACTCAAACCATGGTCAGCCATGTGGGAGTTCAGTGACACAACTACTATGCCATCTGCTGGCCCCTAGAAAAACATTTCTGATTTCTGATACAAAATTTGCTGATCCCTGATGAGAAGGATATATACTGATTTGGAAAGATAACCACTCATTTATGCTAACAGTAAAGATATAAAATAAAGTCAAGAAAATTATTTAAAATATGGGCTACATGGGACCAGCAGTTAGCGTAATGGCAATGTCACTGGACTGCCACGTAGTCGACCGTGGTTCACGTCCCGGACCCAGTGGTTTATAACTCATGCCGGGCGCATGTGCATGCGTGCCCAAGATCCTGAGAGGAGAATGGAGGAGAAGGGATTGTGGCGTGGCCATTCCCTCTGGAGGGTGATTTCTTGCTTTCTATCTCTCTGTCTCTATCTGTCTGGCTAGCGCACATGCCCTATAGCAAAAACCTCTAAAAAAAATGGGCTACAGTCTGAATAACTGATAAATTGTTATGGAACAAATATAAAATTTATGGAAGAGAGTAGTCTCACAGTATAATATGCCCTTACCATTAAAGCAATTGTGATAATGTGTGTGGAAATGCTTTGAAACCTAGAACAAGCTAAACAAATTAATTGGATTATCATTAACCACAAGGAGACCATTAATTAAAAGAATAACTAGTTCACAGTTTAGTAACATGCAATTTAGTTGTTAAATCATAGTGCGGCAGTGGTTAATTTTACCTTTTCTTACTATTAATAACATGAATTTGAGCATGGCTCTTTTGATTTCAACCAAACTAGTCCAGTGAGTCTGGCTGCACTTTAGAATCACCTAGGGAGGTTTCAGATAAAATACCAGTGCCCTTTCCACTCCCCAGGCTCATTAAATCTCTTAGAAATTTTTAAAAAAGAATTATTATTTAATTTTATTTGTTATTATCATTTATTTTCAATTTGACCAGAGCGAGAGAAAGGAAAAGTATGAAAGCTGCCCAGTATGGAACTTGAACCATGGTCAGGCATGTGGGAGTCCAGTGTCTTAACCATGATGCCACCTTCCAGCCCTCTCTTAGTCATTTTTAAAAGCTCCCATAGGCTTCTAATGTTTAGTGAGAATCAAGAATGGAACTGTTGAAATACATACACAGATACATCCATGCATATGCAGTCATACATACATAAGTGCAACCTGTATGAAGGTTGACTACCGAGTGGGGAAGTGAATTACATAAAAAGCTACAGTAAGATTCATAACAGCTCAGAAATTCATGGAACCTGGAGCTGGGGGAGTGTTCCACATGAGTAAACATGCACAGAAATGTGACTCAGCCCATTTCCTGCATCAGCTTTCCCAGAGCCGGCTCCCACTTGGCTTCTGCAGGTCTCTGTTCCTCCATAAATTTTTGTTCTAGTCTAGATTCTTTTACGGACTCTTTCGTGCCAGTTCTACCTATGACAACATTTCTTGGCCATGTTGTTTTATTTTGTCATTCCTAATTCCTTCAGTTTTCTATCTCAAAATAACCAAAATAAAATCTCAAAAGACAAATGATGTGTTTTAATATGTTCGTCATTGCGAACATTCTGTAGGCCAAAGATCAGAGGTCATGAATGGGCATTTTTTATTTAATTGCTTGTTTTGGCTCCTGTATAAGGTGCTTCTGGCTGAAAAGGGAAAAATAAAAAGTGTGAGCAAAAGAGTGAGAGTAGTTAATGTCAGTTATAGATACTACCCATGAAAGCCAAGTCTATGGCTTTCGTTAGAGGAAGATGCCACGAAGATGGCCGTAGTCAATATGTTATGAATCCTTTGAAACTCATAGTACCTAAAGTCCTTCTCCTCGATTTTAGTTGGTCATTTGTCTTTCCTCTTTCTTAGCCACTTCCTCACTCAGTACTGTATCTTCTCTACTTTAATCTACTTCTTTCCGATCTTGTTTCTTTTGAATCAAAGTGAAATACTCTATAATTATCTTTGTATTTCTAATATATTTCAAGAGGAATTGGAACAATTGGTTTTCTTGATTTAACCAGAGCACATATTATAATAAACAATTTTGGATTGTTAAAACATAGTGTGAAGTTAATTAAGGCAAAATGTCAATTTTTTTTTTTTTGTTCTCTACATGAGGCATATGACCCATATAATCTTACTTATTCACAGAGTTAAAATAGTTCTCTTGTGTCAATTCAATACAGATAATATTGAATAGTTAGTTCCTCTGAATCTTAAGACAGTGAGTCTTGGCTTTTATTACTTCACGGTTTTAATTGAATGCCTGAAATTGTATTTAGGAATGAAAGTTTTCCCTATTCAGTGAGTATTAATATAAGCATTTCTAAGCAACTTTTATAGATTTATGTATTACTTGGGTCAGTCAAAGTTGTCACTTTGAAAAAAAAGTCTTTTCTCCCTCTAAACTTGGTCAGACAATCTCCTTTTCATCTGTAAAACTTGGCAATGGTTCCTAGAATTGCAGCTGAATTTATTCTTTTATACATGGTTATATAGCATACTAGAATCAAGAAAACTAAGCTATCATCCTAAAAGAATGTACTTCAAAATAAATATATCGTGTTTGTCTCGATTGTTTTTTTATTTCCTGACAAGTGTCTTTGGCTATAGAAGGACATTTATCTTTCAGTAATAAACCATTATCTTGTCACAGTGGTAATTCCTTCTGTTAAGTTGTCTAAATATTCTAAAGCCTTTTTTCTTTCCTTTCTTACTTTTTTTCTTTTTTTTTTTTTTCTTCTTCTCACTGGAGTAACTTTGGCACTTAGATATTAAAATGAAAAAGCAAGAAACTAAACATAATGCTTATGTTCTGGCCTGGAATCAGCACCGCTCTGCAAGTGAGATGCCAGATCCTCCTCAATCATCATTTGGGACACATTCCATATGGCTGACCAGCATAATTTGTTTAGAATCAAGTCACTGGCAAGAGACTCAATAATTTTGTTTCCTTTTCAAATGAGTTACATGGGATTTCTTAGGCCGAACAACACTCTTCTTTTATGAGCATGTTTTGCACCAAGTAATTAACTGACATACAGTGGCAGTGTGGAAGTCAGTCATAAAGAGCAATGAATGGTCTCGGAATGATCTGACTTGACCATTTTGGGGAGAAATGCAAGATAAAGCAAAAGTTATGCCATGCACACTTAAAGTAACTTTTCATATTCAATGCATTGTTTTCTTTTTACCTCATACCATCTGTTATATCCAAAACCATATCTCCAGTTTCTCTCAATAACCCCAACTAGATATCTCCAACGGGGTGTCTAACAGGCATCTTTAGAAATAATAGTCAAAGGACCAGTAGATGACATAATGGTTATATCGCTGGACCTCCACATAGTTGACTGCTGTTTGAGTCCTGGACCCAATGTCTTAAAACTCACTCCAGGCACATGTGCCCGCATGCCCCAAATTCCTAGAGGATAATAGAGGAGAGGGATTACAATGTGGCCAATCGCCTGGCGGGTGATTTCTTGCTTTCTATCTCTGTTTCTCTCTCTCTGGCAAGTGCATGTACCCTATAACAAAAATCTCTCTTTAAAAAAAAAAAAATTAAGGAAATGACAGTCAAAACAAAGTTCTTTGTTTTATTGTGTGTGTTTTTTAAAATACCTTTAGCAATGTATGTAATTTAATATGCTAAAAAGTAAAATTTACAGAACATGGGCATGGGAATTACACATAGAATAAAAAATCCATGACTTTCGTATGGGCACAGCTGGGTATTACTTTATAGTATGTTCATTCTACTCACCGGGGTTTACGCCTAGGGTCAGACTAGGATACATGTGTAGGTTTGTGTCAGCTGTGCTAGCTAATGGATTTATTTAGACTAATTAAGTTCATTGGCAGAACAATTGAATGGGGGGGGGAGGAAGGTATGGAGGGCAACCATGGATGCCAGGGAAAAAGGGGAGGGGAAGGTGGGACATAGCAGAGGGTGGGGGATGGGGAATCAGGGATGGCAAGACAAAGGGCAAGGTATGCAGGACGTAAGAATTGGAAAATTATTTTTTGAGAACATATATGTGGATGTACTTGATTGAGACAATGCACAGTGTATTTTGGATGGAAAATTCATTTGTGTGTTGTGATGGTGTAAAGTGAATTAATAAAAAAAATATTCTTACAAAATAGCTGAAAAAAAAAATCCATGACTTTCTTCATTTTGACTGTATTACTTTCTTGTCTTCAGGAGGGAATATTTTTTACTTCAAAAGTAACAAAATATTTGAGAATGGAATTTATATCTTTCTGTTCTAAATGGTATTGTTCTCTTGTTATTTTCTTAAAAGTCTGTGTTTCTAGATCAAGTTTACTATTCTTGAGAAGTGTCAATACTTCTACAATTGAAACTTTGCCTTTAGGAATGTTCATAATCATCATATCAAAGTGATGGTCTCTCAGCCATCTGAATTCCTTTTGTTCTTGATGTATTTTAGCATCTTTTACCTGCCCAGAAGCCACAGGATCTTTGGAATCAATGTACATTTTTAGTAATGACAGCAGCTTGTCATCTTTTCTGTCAGACACTCCCTTACTTTCTGGATGGCAGTTCACCAGCTCCTGCCAGAGGCTCTTCGTGGAAGGGTGCTTGGGAGTGGGACAGGGTCTCATCATGTTGGTCCTGGTTGGCTCAGTTCTCCAGGTTCACATTTTTGATCAGGCGAGTCACCAAAGCCCCCTTGCAGCAGCATACTATTTTGCTGTGTTCCTGGCTGTGTGTTTTAGAAGCCAGTTAGAGTAGTGGTACCTGCAGATCCAATATGGCCCCCTGTCTGCCTGTGTGCTGTCTTTGAGCTGAGGATGCTTACAACATGTACATTGCAATCTACTCGATGATAGGAAACCACTGGACTGTTTATTTGGATTTCGTTTTTTGTTCATGGTATAATCTTGAGCCAGTTAGTAAACTCCCTATCCCTTAACTTTTTTTAATGTTACACTTAGGGGAAAAAAGCTTGTACATGAAGGTACATAAATTTTAATAGTAGATTGCCCTTGGTGAATAAATTATTAATAACCTCATTGAATTTTTTTTCTTTTTTAGTGTGGGGACATTATCAAAAGCTTTTTTTTAGAAATATGCATTATTTTCTAGTACAAAGATACTTAATATTAAATAATAGGAAGTATTTAGATAAAATATCCATGAAGAAACTGGAGTAGGATCTTTGGAAAAAGGGATATACGTGAACTATGTTCTGCAATTTTAAAAATATAATATCAGAAAATTTAGTGGTATATTTATTTTTATTACAAATAATTAATGGGGCTGTCAGGTGACATGGTGGTTAAAGGCATTGAACTCCCACATGTGTGACTGTGGTTCAATTCCTAGACCTGACAGCTTGTTCTCTCACTTTCCCTTTCTCTCTCTCATTCTGTCCTCTCTGGTCAATTAAAAATAAATAAAAATAAATAAAATAATTAATATCTTTTGGGAAAATCAAGCATGAAAACAGGGTTACAATAGATAATAGTTATTTTGAATTCATAGCAAAATATAAAAAGTGCATTATTAAGACAGGAAGGAATCTACATGTTAAATGCAGAGTACGGTATAATGCTAAACAGCTCTAGAACTGGAGTTTATTTATGATTTAAAAATAAAATTTCTGCCATTAAGTAGTTCTTTCCTAGGGTCAGTAGGAGGCATAGGTGTTGAGGCACTAGACTCCCACATGGTTGACTGTGGTTTGAGTCCTGGAGCTGGCAGCTTAAAACTCAAGCCAGGTGCATGCCCAAAATCCCAAGAGAAGAATGGAGGAGAAGGTATTGCGGTGTGGCTCACTCTGACTCTCCAGAGAACACACACACTCTATGACAAAAAAAAAAAACCTCTCTCGCACATAAAAAAAAAAAAAAAAAAAAAAAAAAAAAAAAAAAACCAAAAAACCTCTCATTAAAAAAAAAAAGAAGGAGCTCTTTCCTTGGGTTAGTACAATTTATGTAAGATACAAGGGTTTTTTTTTTTGCTCCAAAACGAATGAAAGTATACTATTTTTCTTAATAGAGTTATTTTGAGGGCTTAGTAGAATAATTCATAGAAATATTTTAACACAATGCCATACTCATGTTTAATTATGACTCATTCACAAATTATATAAATTTTCAGTGACTGTTTTTCAATTTAAATATAAAATTATAATAGCAAATTGTAAAGTTATATTGGTACCAAAAAAAACCCACAATAATTTACTAGAAAATTACCAAAAAAATGTCATTTGGAATTTAAAAAAATAACAATTCAAATCTAAGTATTGCCATTTTCTTTTATATCTTTGGACAAGCTGCTATTTATTTATTTATTCTGAGAGAGGGAGATTTTTACTATAGGGCATATGAGCTCTCCAGAGAAACAGAAAGCAAGAAATCAGTCCCAGGGTGTATGGGCATGCCACAATCCTTTCTTTTATTTATTTATTTATTTTTTATTTTGAGAGGTTTTTGCTACAGGGCACATGCGCTCACCAGAGAGACAGAGAGAGACAGAGAAACAGAAAGTGAGAAATCACCCCCCAGTGGGGGATGGCCACACCTCAATCCCTTCTCCTCTATTCTCCTCTCGGGATCTTGGGCATGCACACATGCACCGGCGTGAGTTTAAGCCACCAGGTCCTGGACTTGAAGTGCGGTCGACTACATGGAGTTCAACAACATAGCCATTACCCTAACTGCTGGTCCCCCACAATCTCTTCTCCTCTATTGTCCTATTGGGATCTCAGGCATGCACAGAGTGTGAATTTTAAGTCGCCAATCCAAGACTTGAACCATGGGAGTCCCACACGTAAATATTATGCCATCTGCTAGTTCCTAAGCCATTATATTTGTGATCTTAGCTTTAAAAAAATCTATAAAATGTGTATCTATCCATTTATCACAATGTCATAGTGAAAAGCAAATTAGATAATGGAACATCCTTTAGATTGTAAATAGTGGTACTAATTTTAGTTATCATGCTTATACTTGGCCAATGTTAAAAGTAAATACACACTGTTAATGTCATTAATTCAAGTTTTAAGTTTTCAGAGTATTTTCAACAGTTCCTTAATTTTCTCCAATCTACAAGTATCTGAAAAATAGTGGACTTCAAACTCAAAATTTTATACCTGCTGAGGTACTGAGAGCCAACACATTAATGACTCCCCTATTCAATGTGATTCAGAAGCTTTCAATGTGAGATTACTTCAATTCTACACTGGTCTATTGAATCAGTCTGTGTGTTTTTGATAAACATTCAAATCTCCCAAGAAAGAGGGTTCAGCATGGAGGCCAGATGGCATTACTTTGTTCACAGCATCACTAATTTCCAGATAGTAGAATTTTTTTTTTTTTTTCTTTGAGAGAGATTTTAGCTACAGGGCACATGTGCTTGCTGGAGAAATAGAGACAGAAAGTGAGAAATCATCCCTAGGGCAGATGGCCACACTGCAATCTTTTCTCCTCCATTTTCCTTTCAGAATCTGGGCACATATGCACTTGCGCCTGGCATGAGTTTTAAGCCACTGGGTCTGGGACTTGAACTGTAGTTGCCTATGAGGAAGCCCAGCAACATAACCATTATGCTATCTGCTGGTCCCAATATTATATTTTTACATGTATCAACCCAACTGTCAAATATAAATTTCCATTATCTACCATATAAAATGATATACCATTTTTATCTATTCATTTTTACAGTGTTTAAACATTTTATTTTTATCTTTCAACACAGTACAATTTCTTTTCTTAGTGAGTTGATAGCTTTTTGGCCATTGGATTTATTTTTAATTATTATAAACTATATACAATTTTGAAGTGCTAGGAATCCTTTCTCCTGGTGCTTCTTAGCTATAGAAGTTAACTGTATATATATTTATGTAACCATAATTTACTAATGTGAAAAATAAGTGGCAATTTCTGTTTTTCTGTGTATATATCTTTCTGTGTGTGTACACACATACACACACATATATACAAACTAGTCACTCTGTATTCCCATCATTGCCTGATAAATAAATTGAACCCCAGCTGACATTCAAAGTCAGCTACACAGTACTTAATTCTTGATAGCTGTTAATGAGCCAATTAAATAAAATATGTTATGCATGCTCCTTGAGAATGTGTAAAGCACAGGCGACCTTATAAAACACAGTACAACGAAAGCAGCTAGTTTTGCAGGCTGTGTCTAACAGATATGTGAAGGGCATGGAAAGGTGAGAAGGGTAACCAACATACTCGCCTCACTGGCCAACTCTGAATTAAAGTAACTCTGACAAAAGACATACTTTTTCTTTTTCTGCATAACATTCTGCACATTCGCATTCTTTGACATACCTCCAATCTGGTAATTCCCATTTGCATTAGACAATGACTTTGAGATTTAAACAAAATGGAAACATCAGCAGTTTATTTTAGTTTATAAACTAGACTAATCAAAGAGCACATGGCAGAGAGAAAAGCAGGTAAGAATATTATCCATTAAAAATGCCAGAGTCCTATGTAACAGTAGAATTTCAGTCCCTGCAGAAAAATGATAAAATCCAAGTCTTGAGGAGAGTAACTAACACTTGCAATTTAATGCAATCAGTTTAAAGTGAATAATAATTTTAATCAGTGTTTAAACTGATGAGTAATGGATCGGGTAATTATTGCAGGTTTTCCAACTCAACAGAGCTTTATCTGGAAAATGACCTGGTACTTCTGTCTACTCAATATGCATAGTGATTATGCTAATACCTTAAAACACTAGAGCAGGGCTCAGAGGGTAACACAGATATTTTATTTTCTCCTTCTCCCCCTACCTCTCCTTCTCTTTCTTCAACATAGCATATTTGTGGATCCTTCAGGATGTCTTATTCTCTTATTCTTGTCTCCAATAAAGTACAGGGCGGGTGACTTATGATGCTCCAAAGCTTAATGACACTTTGGCTTCTGTAATATTGGCCCAGGATACGACACTCTGCAGCACTGATACAGGAAAATAGAGGCAGGCCTTAATTGTTGTCTGTGCAAATTGAAGGACTCAAGGAGTCTTTTGATATTTTCCATATTTAGATACTGTAACCTGTGGTCCTCATGTATTCAGATTTTATATCATAGTAAGATCTCCAAAGACTTGTTTTACATCTGTTGAGTTCATTCTATTTAGGCTAATGTAATGCTTCCTCCTTAGCTCGATGTATTTGCTAACCATGGGGCCATTATATCAGATGCCTCTGTTTCCTACCAAATTATATGTACAATCACTGTCCTGAGAAGAAAAAAAATAAAATGGGAAAACAGAGCCTTGTTTAGTGGTAACAATTGTCCCACTGACAGAAGATACATGTGCTTTTTGTTAATCAAATTATATTTCTTTTCCAGAAGTATTTCAAAGATGTTCTTGTACATAAAAGCCAAATATCATTCAAATTTAAATCTAAATCAACTCACTTTATAATTTCCAAGACTTCATTGACATTAAAAATGAGTCATTATTCTTGGTCAAAATCTAATTGAGGAGACTTTGGAAACACTATTTTAAAGACTATCCATAAAACCAGGAACCAGCAGTTAGTGTAATGGCTATGTCACTGGACTCCCACGTAGTCGACCACAGTTCGCTTCCCAGACCCGGTGGCTTAAAACTCACGCCG